GTGGTTTTTACGTACGGGCACTTGGATTTTTTGGCGGAGAGATTGCTCACTGAATAGCTGGGTCATTTTCAAAAAAAGACCGCTAAACGATTGTGTATGCAAAATTTACGATGTTTTACGGTGCTGGGTGCACAAGATAGGTGTGGGGGAGCAATTATTTGTGCAATTAACCTAATTACTTCAAGTTTGATGCAGAAACGCATGATCGTACCGGCTCGCCTAGTTCCAGCCTGGGTTTAACATTAAAACTTTGAGAGGTCTTAGACAAATTGGTGCAAAAACAGGCCCAGGCTATAAAGCACTACGCTTGCGGGAGCAATCATGCTTTTTTGCGTTAAACTCACAGATCTCTAACAGCAGAAATGATCCCTACGCTGTAGCTTAACACATGATCCCTACGCTGTAGCTTAACACATGATCCCTACGCTGTAGCTTAACAATTCTACCTCTTGTGATTCCAAGCGATCTTACTGTAGCGTGAAATACTGCAAAAACATATGATCACACGGCCTCGCCTGGTGGGAATCGCAAATGATTTTCGAGTTAGCACAGTGCCAACTGCGAGCTTTGCCGTGACTTTACTTGCGGTATAAGTTTGTGGAATAGCTGAATTTGAAATCTTTAGCTCATGCATGCACAGAGAATATCCCTACAAAGTGTTCGTTTTCTATCTTGCCTAGTTCACGAAATTGTTTCCCGCCAAGGCAATCTGCATGTTTTTTTCGGAGGTTCAGGCGCGTGATCTACGCCCATATAAGCGAAGATTTTGAAGCGGAAGAGTAAGACTCGGGATGAGAATATTTGGTGCATTCAGTAATTAGAAAATTGAACTGAATTTTGACCAGGGGTTATAAATTACTAAGAAGTAGGGTCTAAAGAAGATCTTTCACTATTAAGCTCACCATTTGACATGCTGAAAGCCATCAAAATTCCCACCACACAATATTTGCAGCGCAGTTCAATCAAAAATTAGGGCACAGGAGGAATCTAAAAGATTCTCACATGTTCCCGGCCTTCTGTACGAAATGATTCGAGGAAAGAGCTCCGAACAGTAGCTTTTTAGCTGTTATTGTTCTTTAGTTAAATTATTCAAATAAATACGGACACTGTGCAAAATCCGCTATAATACTTTTTCGATTTACACAAAAAAGACGAAAAAAATCTGCATTGAAGCTCAGTTTTAAGTAAGTTATTTTTGCTACATTTTTAATGTAGATGCACATTTGTTAACTTATTTTGAGGTGTTCCTGCGTATTCACTTTTTTACCATCAGTCTACATAGCGCGCTTTCAATGCCTGCATGTTTGTGAACAATAATGTATACATAAAACATGGGTTGTTCAAACCTGCTCCGTTCACCAAGTTCCGAGCAACTCCCTTTTTAGCAGTTGCTGAAACAGCTGCATTATTTTACAGTAAAGACGAAAAAGAACTGCAAAAAGAGCACGCGTCATTTCCTCCAGAGACTATCTGTTATTAAGGAAATTCTGACACTTTAATATATCGATTTATTAAAAGTTTTCAATTTGCTTGTGATGCTCAGACGCCCTTCCAGAAAACTGCAAAAACTTCCCACACCTCCTATTGAAAATTTCTTCGCCATGGCAGTCACCTGACAATTTCGCCCCAGCTGAAATAACATTTTCGAACAGCCCCGGCGTAGCTAAACAGAAAGCATTTAGGCCGGTGCATTCTTCTTTCGGGAACGTTTGATAAATTTTTATATTCTTCAAAAAATATTACACTTTAGCCGACATTTTTGCAATCATCAGAGTGCCGACTTAAGTGAAGAATTTGTTCCGCTACACAAAAAATATCATGACGGTGCGGTCAATCGATTGAGTTTTCCAGTTTACTGGCGTAACTGGGGTGCTCTTGCGCACCGAGTACAGCTGTGCCAGGCCATATGATATTTGGGAGAATATATGTATATTTGTTTTCTAATAAACATTTCCAAAAAATTGATCAAAATACATACTTCGAAGTAATTTGAGGCTCAGCTGTCAGCGCTTTTAACGAAAGGAAATATAAAGCCAATGGAGCCTGTATCGTGAAATATGGAAGAGATGTAATACTGATGCCAAGCGTGATGTTTGTAAAATTAGCGGGAATTTGATAAGCTCTGCTGACAGGTGCTAGATTGCTAATGTATCAGAGAAATGAGGTTAAGGTGAAACAAGGAAAAGTGAGGAGGGAACTTATTTCAAAGAGTTATGGTCTTTTCTTATCAAAAATAGTAGACGTTTGGCAATTTAATAATTAATTTTCTGTTATTGAAGAGTTGTTAGGCTAGTTGGAAATTATTCCGGATGGGCATCAAAAAATGTCAAAGGGGTCCTTCTTAACGCGGCTGCAAAAATCGGCTCTCTCCTCAGTGCTCCAATCGACGTCCGATTTGCTGCTCAAGGCAGAGATTGCTACATTTTGATGGTTGGATCGATGAGGGCAATTATCTGGCTTAACAGCCAGCTTTCCGAAAAAAAAAAAATCTAATTTATTAAATTCTAGACCACTCGCAAGCTAATCACTGCATTCTACATTTTTTATATGTATGTGTATACAATGAACAACCTGTTTTGCGGCAAAGCGTCTGGAAGCAGTGTAACCCTCAACACTATCAATCACTGGAAAAAGTGATCGGTGAATGGCTCGCAACTGTTGCTCTGTCTCCCTCCACCACTCCACCGATGCTTATCCTGATAGCATTTTAAAATTTTTTTAGCACTTTTGAAACACTTCTTATCAACAAAATCAAAGTGCGCAACATAGTTCATCACCGCTCTTGTTGCTAGCGTCAGCAGATTCTGAACAGTCTCCCTTGTTGTCCGTTCAGCACATTAAAGAACAGATACACAGGACTGAAAATATATACATTTCTCACTGTTAATCGTGATCCACCCATGTATTACCCATAACATATTTTGTTTATTGCGGATTACGATTTGCTTGCACGAAGGGCAGTTAATAATCTACTAATCTGCTGTGTATTTTACATATAAAATACGTATGGTCAAATCACTCCGAGCAATACATATGCATATTATTGGTAAGTGCAGAATTTACCGTACTTTGTCTATAGCTACCTCAAGATTCCACAGTTGCACACCGGACTGCGCCCGCTGTTGCACACCGACCGTTGCGCACCGGACCACGACCGTGGCAGCGATTCATCGATTGTGATGAGTGAAGGGTGAATGGAGCAGGTGAGATGGGGTAGGTTAGTGCAGTTGGGTTGTTTTGGTCTCCACGAGGTGCTTATGTGAGTTTTTTTGAGGGGAGGGTTCTGGTGGATGAATACCTGGCGAGCGGATTAGAGGGTTGGTGGAAGACGCTGACTGGTAGCTTGAGGATATGTCTTTGGGGAGTAGGTTTGTTGCATGCAGTAGAATTTGTAGGGCTGGATTTTGTCGGACTTTGTAGATTATGCGGTGAGAGGTGATTTTTCTGACGAGAAGTAGACTTGCTGATGACCGGGGGTGTAGGCTGGCTAAAGAAGTCTGTTTCTTTCTCTCTTTTTGGACTGGAAGGCGCTTATTTCGAGGAGACGTTAGGGATGCTAAGAGTATTGTTGACTGCCTTAAGGGAATGCTTATTGTTCCTGAAAGAAGATACAGTCACTTTTTGAGGTGATATTATTAACAATTATTATTTTTCTGGGCGATTACTAAAACTCGTCTCGCCTCTGGCGTCTTGGGAGGCGATTTCTGAAGACTGTAGGGGGTAGAGGGTGGAGCGCTGGAGGCGTGGGGAGGGTGTGAAGGCGAGGATGGTAGTTTAAGCCTCGTAAAAGGGGGGTGGGTGGGATTGTTGACTGGAAAGGAGCTGGGACCTTGACTGAAGGTAGGAAACAGAAACATTGGAAGGCTTATAGGAGATGCGCTGAGGAGGAGCTTTAGCGCAGGATGCATGAGAACAGTCTTTCATGCACTAAAAATATACTGAGCAAAATCTTGCAGACTTTTGTAATACTCTTTCTACAGTACTTTGAATGAAAGCACAGTCACAGTTTTCTGGAAAACAGCGCCGTTGAATCTTGTCGGGCAACTTTTAAATCATTACCTCATTTAAGACCTCAGTTCAAGGAAATTTAATCGTAAGACAGCGAAAAAGTTAATTTCCATGCTTTGGTTTTGTATACAACTGGAGATATTGATTCGATCCTAAATCCAAAGCTTGCAGCTTTTTTGCGTTTGGTGTTATAAAAATAGTCCAAATCGTGACTTGTTGTCAAAGACAGCTGCAAACGGCAATTTGAAAGTTAAGTTCAAGTTTGGCAAAATACTGCGAGCTTGTTTACAAAGTTTAAATTCCCTATCTTTCGTAATTCCGCAGCTGAAACTGGTAGTCATACGCAAATACATATGCAGATGCAAACATATACATACAAACATAAACACGCAGGCGTAAACGTACGTACATTCGACATCGTCTTAATGCGTTTTTGTATTAATGACGTGGAAACTCAAAAGAACACATAATCGAGGCGGTGTTTCTCGGGCTAGTAACTGAGCTAATATTCTTACTGCTGCATGAAATCGCTCAAAAATGCACTTTTTTTTAACCCACAAGCATCTCTGATGCTCTTCGCTTATTATTTCTTAGTTAAGAGGCTCTGAAATAAAAATGCAACAGATTGAGTTGAAGAGTGGTAAATCCTGGGTAGGGGCACAGAATTTGCTAAGAATCAACAAAATCGGGAAGGCAACGAGAAGTGTCGCAAAAACTAGATCATTTGATGCAGGAGCGCTAAAGTTAGATATCGAAATTTGCTAAAAAATCACGCCGTACTGAGTGAATGCATCAAGTGCAAGAAAAGCCCGCTTATTTGACTATTGAACGTTATGACTGGTAGTGTGGCTCTTAACAATTATTGTTTCATATCTACATGACTGAGCGGAACGCTTATTGTCTTTTATGATAAGTGTACGGTATAATCTTTCTCTGATGATATTGGTGTCCCGAATAACTAGAGGAATCGTTCCAGCGACAAAGTTATATAAATGGCTTCAGAGAGCAATCTCTGCGTAGTGTTGCACGGCCCCAATGATATGCGGCTAGAGGAACGACCGGTCCCGAAGCCAAGTCGGAATCAACTGCTTATTCAAGTACACACCGTAGGAATTTGCGGATCCGATGTCCATTACTGGACTCATGGAGCTATCGGACGTTTTGTTGTTAAGGAACCTATGGTGCTGGGACATGAAACGAGCGGTATCGTGATCGATTTGGGTTCCGAAGTACATGGATTTCAGAAAGGTATGAGATGATTTTATGTATATATATATATATATATATATATATATGTATCAGTGTATAGACATGTATATATATATATATTTATATACA